TCATGAACTTTACATTGAAACTCCGCCGGCAGTGAACAGGCAAACGCACGAAGTTAGGATACTATGGCAAGCGTGGGCACGTGTCGTTGGAGAAGATGTCCTAACAAGAGCAGTGTCAGGAAGTGGTACAATCAAACAACGAATAAACGCAGTCAAAAAATGTGTGCTCCATCACATGATGCAGCTAGCATCTCACTATATTCGTAATAAGGTGCTAACAGCAGGATGGACGGGAGGAATCAGCTGGGCATGGCTCAGCCATGCTTGCGAGGCCAACAAGCGATGGATTCCTAGCATTACTAGGTTCACCTTGTTACGCTGGGCGGTCAATGAGGACGATGATGAGTGGTTAGCACGACGTGGCCAAAGCCGGCAAAAAAAATGTGCTCTCTGTGCTAACTTTGGCCGCGCATACCCACTTGGCGGCTATCAAACCGCAATTTGTGAAACATGTATAGTAACCAAACAATTGACGGCCTTCACGACAGACTCCCTTGAAAGACTGCTGGAGGCATCACGCAGAGTACTCCCTACACAAGAAGAACTACCAGCAAGTGAAGACTGGGAAACATGCATTGCATGCTCAAAGGGAGACAATACTGTAGGACATTGGATTCGGTGGTGTGTTGTACCTATCAGCGCTTTAAGAAGCCTGACAGGAGATGATTCAATACTGTCGCTGGCCGAAGGATCAAGGAAAAGCGCTAAGCACTTAGCAATAGCATCGCGAGTTGTTCATCAATTCAGGTTGCTACTACGGGAATCAGGTGCAATGAGACATCAAATCTCTGCTCCCCTCACCCCCATGGATACCTGGATACATAACCTCGTGCAAAGGGTACAAACAGAACTACCCCTGGACCTTCGTATGCAGCATATAAGGACGCAGTCAGCTTCCGCCCACTGCTCTGTTAATGACTCGCTACTCTCGTGCTGTGACAAACCCCCCCTCCACATTTCGTGTGCCCTTGCCCCAGCTCGAGTGTGCTTTACTCGTGAAGCAGTGGAAGCCAATCAAACATTTGCGGTCGTTCCCCTAGGCTCTGAACCACTGCATTTAATCCAGCAAACTATCCAGGTCGGAACAGGAATTTCCCCAAATGTCTCTCTCTCCACTTTCCAGTGTAAGTGTGGGGACTATCATTGCCGTATTACGGCATTACAGCCAATAGGCACCGATGAAGTGCTCAGTAGCTGTCTCAATTCTGACAAAACAACACTACTAGTCCAATTTGACGGGTCCTGCCATGCTGATACGGGCACAGGTGGGGCGGGCGCTGCTCTCTTAGAACTCCAACGTGAAGGACTAACGTTGCTCAAGTGGAGGGCTGTTGCACTACCTAGCTGCCCAGACAATATTTTCGCTGAGGCGGTGTCAGCTAATCTCGCTACAGACCTTTTGTGTGAAGAAATCGTACACAGAAGCTACGCAGTTGACCAGGCCTACTTACAAGGGGATATTCTCCCCATCGTAAAACACTTAGCCTTTGCAGGACGCTTTCGTAGGATCGACCTACAGCCTATTATACAGCAAATTCGCCGGAAACAATCAAGGTTTTTGACCATGGAAAATGGGTATACCGCCCAAGAGAAGCCAACATACTCGCAGACTACCTTGCTGGAGTAGCGAGCCGAGCGGCACAGGCCTTCCCAGCTCATATAAGCGAGCCTACCGAAATCGCGGTTGAAGCGCCCTATCAGTTGGCCATGCGATCAGGAGCTATTGTACTGGAAGAGAGGCCGCGAGGTGTTACGATCCTATTACTTACCGAAGTCCCGAAGGTAAGCATAGAATTGGTAAGTAAATTTATGATGCAAACTGCAAACCAGCAATACCGCAAAGAGGTTGAGACCTATTTAGTGGGCACTGCCAATCTCACGAAACCCCGAATAGTAGAGTATACAGCTTCTGCAACAGACTGTCTGGGCCGACTTTATGGCAGAGGTCCCTGTGCTCAAAGACTGCCACGAAAAGTAAGATTACTCCTATTTGGAAATACGCACCAGGAAGTTGACATGGTCGGCGCTTTCTACGAAATCATGAGACGACTCCTTCGCAGCAGTCACCTCCCACACATAGTAGAACTGAGAGCGATACTTATGGATCTGCTGGGGTTAGTACCGCTGAATCAGCGGTTTGCCGTTGTCAAGCGACATCCACTAATTGTAATGAATGCAGGAGCAAGCGAAGCGTGTTCTAAAATTGAAAGGGAACACCATATCACATGTCCTCCAGCATTACATCACCTCAGCCTTCAAATTGAATCAGCCACGCAAGCTCTAGTTAACAATCACCTGCCAGTAAAGAGGCCACAATATGCTACTCATGCCAGAGGTGCTGCTTTTCGAACTCTAGAATGGTATGAAGAACATATTATGATCTCTTACTACAAGGAACTAACGAGAAGATGTCACATAACATCAGCGATCTGGCTTCATGATGGACTCTGGCTCCCAAAAGAAATCTCTCCACATTTACTCTATGAAGCTGAACGGGCAATGCTCCATCAATTACAGCTAGATTCATGCGATCCCCCCCTTTTCAGTTTACGTGAACTCGCCGCAGATGCTCAGGCGCTTATACAAACTCTCGATGATGTCACCGTGGCCACAAACCCCTCCCCCCTTCCACGTACTGAAAGAAAAAGAAACATCGAAAGTGAGTTCTTTGGGACAAGACCCATCCGATGGAACACACAAGCACCAACATCGGGCTACAATACCTTTACGGACCGCATGGCCAAACGGCGTAGAGCAACCTAAATACCCTTTCTATGTACCTCAGCTGAATAACACACACTAGGGTAGTCGTTTTTCGGTATTGTCAGGCTTATCGAGCCCCTCAGTCCAATAAGTTTGCTAAGTGTGGTAGAACTTGCTATTTGTTGTCATCTTCTTTGATTGATCACCTTTCTCTGCCTAACTACTATGAGGCAAGGCATAATCGTACAGTTCATGAGCAGTTTTATTGCTCACAGGCAGTTAATTTTGTATTCCATATCTCTGCCAATGGGCATGGAGAACGAGACACCTAGACAAAAACCACTGCCATGCTCAGCGAACCTGTTATCCCATCAAGTCACTCAGTTACGAAAAGATCTGGCGAAGGCAACTGACAATGCAAGCCTAGCCGGTGTGGGCACTGAGAATGCTGTCAATCAACTGAAATTGGCATTAAGGGCGCTCGATCAAGCACTAGTGCTCCTGGCAAACGAAGAAGGGAATCACGTAGTCTCAACACGAGAATCGTGTGAAGAACAGGCTGACCGGAAATCTTTGACTGCCATTGATCGAGCAAAAATCTTTCAGAGATGGGAGGCAAGTCGGCGGCAAGAAAAGCACGGCAGACAACAAAGTCGGAGTTCTGTGAAGCGGAAGTTGGATGAATGAGCTGACTTATTACTGCATATCGTGTTTGTGCCACAAAAGAGTCATCAGTGCGAAGACAAAATGATTGGTCGACTGAGTGGTTTTTCTTGCCATTTGAGCACTACTCCTCTCTCCCTCTCTGGCTTCAAAACTAGGTAGCAAGATTATACCTGGCACTCTATAGATTGACCTCCCTCCTGTTGTTTCTCTCTATCTGGTTTACTCCGATTGTGCCTGTCGTATTCATGTCTGTGCTCCCTTGTTCCATGAGCCACACTCCAAATACGTATTTGATCGGTGGTACTGAATGTCGAGGCTTCTATGCATATCCCACTGTTCGGCTCCTCAGTAACGGTATTGTGCAGCAACTGACCATGCTTGTGAATTTTCCGTCTACCTCATGATTTTTTGCTAAATTCTCCCTTAGTCGTCCATGGGGTAATTTCCTCCCTAACTATGCAATGGACCTTCATAAGTATATATCTAAACTTTTCCTCGCAAACCAAAAGCCTCGGAAATCCATGTCTTCACCATGCCTATTGCATGCTGAACTGTTGAAACGTTTGGAGTAGTTTTCAACTAGCAAACAAACTGTTCTCGGCAAAACGCAAAGATCCAAATTGGATCAGTTGACCTACAAAACTACTAAATCACTACGTGAGTTGTAGTAGGTTCCAAAAGGGTGAAGTTGTGGTAAAACATCTACACACCCCGCCCGTGAATTGCACGCTCTTCGTACAAATCACGCTGTAGTTGTTTTGAAGCAACAGCTTGAAAGCAAAAGAATTGTATCCTATGCCACGCTCATTGCCTCTCACTGCAAAAGGTACCGGTGAGATCGTGTTAGCTCACCGCGCACCAACTGAAAAAGGTACCGGTGAGATCGTGTTAGCTCACCGCGCACCAAATGTTGCAGCCTCCGACATGCACTCCTTTTTCATGTGCCATAAGGGAGAAAAGGAGTGCACTCAAATCCAAGGCAACGAACATTGCAGCTTTGGAGTTGCGTTCCTTTTGGAAACTCTTTTCACAAAGCTAGCTATTTGTGCTCTCTGTGTTTTCACCTTCTGATTCGCTTTGTCCAGGCGATATGTCGTCCATGGTTTGCATCATGAACATTGCTCTGTGACGCTGACTCGGATCGCGTCTGCAGACTTTCAAGACGCCCACCATGATCGCCCGTCTTTCTGCATTGCGACGACAACGTTCGGTGTCACCTGCTCCAATGCATTGCTTGATGCGCTTGCTCAAGCGACTGATCATCCAAACACCCATATCCTCTGGACTGTATTGCTCATATGGGTTTGGCAACTCAATCCTCATATATTCATCATCCATGTCAGGTGGAAGCATGTCTTCCACATCAGGTTCTGCAAGGATTCCAGTGTTGAAGTTTTCAATCTCCAACGCACTGAAGTCCACCGCAAACGCTGGGTCCAAGTTTTGCAAACGCTCGTATGCAAACATTGCACTGTCGATGGTGGATTGTTTCACTCCATCATCTTCACTGCTGTAAAAGCAATCCATGATCACTTCATAGATTGTTTCTGCTTGCTCTGCAATCTCATCGTTCTCACTGGACTGCAATTGTAAAGAACGCTCATTGCAAGCAGCAAGGAAAACATGGAATTTCACACCATTGAAAGTTTGCTCCTCATTTGGTTCTGTTTCAGCGTCTGGCTCTTGCAAAAGTGTTTCACTTCATCGCTATCTGATCTGCCTTCAAAATGCCTTGCAACTCTGGAAACTGCAAAGCAAATCACTCCGATGAAAACGCACATGTAAACCATTGGGCTCAAACCTAGGCTCAAGGCTTGGCTGCTGGTTCCTTCTCCACTCCCAGCTGCGACGTTGATGCAGCTGAAAAGTAGCATCACTGCAAGTGCAAATTTCATCTGGCACATCCATGAAATCATCCACGCAAATGACATGGCAACTGAAATTGGAGACATGTAGACATCACCGCAAAACTCAAAGGAAAACGCTGAGCTCGAAACTTGAAGTCCTTCTGTCATGTTGACCAAGCTGAACACTGAAAGAACTCTCAGGACTTGCTTAGCCAAAGCATTCACACCAGATTGTTTCCTTTGGTATGTTTCATCCATTCCAGTTTCATCTGTCAACGCACGAGAGACAACCTTGATTTGGTTTTTCATCAGCTCCTTTGACTGCAAACGCGCAAACTCATCTGCACCAACTTCATTGCCATCTGAGGTGAATCCAAGCAAAAACAAAAGACCTAGAAACCTGTCTTTCTGCAACGGTTTTGTGTTCACATCTGAAACGTTGAAAATTGTTTTCACCTGTTTGATTCTGAGTTCATGACTGGCAACCTTGCTTTGAAGCCAAAGAAGTCGGCCCTTGATGTGACGCAATCTGCCAGCCCCTTGTTTCAAAGACAGCATCTTCACAGCTGAATTGTCAACATGAAGTGTCAGTGGGTCCACATCGTCATCAGTGATGAATGACACGATGTGGTGCAAGTACAAAGCATCACAAACACCTGAGCTTGCTGAGTACCATTCAGCTTCTGTTGAAGACAAGCTGATGCATTTCTGTGAGCGTGATGTACTGAAAATCACAAGCCCATTCAGTGTGTGAATTGCAGCTGAAGTCGATTTCATGTCACCTGCACCTGCCCAGTCACTGTCGGTGTACACTTCCAAATTGTTTCTGCTACGCTGGGTATCCACTCCAAGCACTGTTTCCATGAAACTCTGCCCTTTCTCACATTTTTCCATTCTCAAAGCAAAGCTTTCACTGTAACGCAGGTATCCTATCAGTCTTCCCAAACTCAACCATGCTTTCCAAGTTGGGTCCTTGAGGCCTGAAGCCAGCGTCTTTGTTGCATACTGTATATCAAAACGCTCTTGTGCCATGTACATTGCTATCCCAACCAAGGAACGGTATTCTGCAGAGAGGGAATCTGACAAAGGTTGCATTTCATCTGGGGCATAGCTTGGAGAGGACACGCAAGGAGTCTTGAACAGCTTTGGTGGTTTTCCATTTGCTGCAGTAAAACGGTCAAACAAAGTGCAAACATGCTTGGCCTCTGGGTGAACGGTGAGTGATGTGTACTCAGGCGCAATCTCATGGTAACGTTTCAGAAACTCAAAGCCACCACCAGTCTCTCTTGAAATGATGGTGTATGTCATCTTGAACTCACTTTCCAGTTTGGGAATGAGAGTATCCCTGAGCCACCTTTCATCACCCATGAAAAGCACATCATCCACATGCAGTAAAAGCACTCCAAAGTTCTTGACACGCAAAATGCAAGGCTGTTCTTTGCAAGACACAGCATCCACATGGTGTTGAACACGTCCGACAAAGTAGTTGAACCACAACCGTGATGCATCGCGCTGTCCAGGCAAACATCGTAAAATGATGTGTGAGCAACCATTGATTGTAACAGCTCTTGGCAAACTCTGAGGCACCTGCAAAAAGGCATCGCTGATGTCCAACGTTCCAAGCACTGCATTGGGTATGAAGCCATCAGACATGGCTAAGGCTGGCAACAGCTTGACCACTGCTGAGCTTGTTGCAGGACTGAAAGTGTCCTCCCTTGATTCCAGCCAATTGAACTCTCTTGCAACTAACCTGGAACGTCTCATCCAAGCAGGTCCTTCACTCACCAAGTTTCCAACTGAGTCATATTCTTTGCGCGTTTTCTTTCTCCACGTACGCACAAACTTTGCTGAAAGAGGTTTGCCACACTCACCTTTGTATTGCTCTGGAGTTGTGAGCACCTGCATTGAAGTCAACCTCATGATTTCAACTTTGTCACCATATTCATCGATCTTTGCAAGAAGCTCTGGGTCCAAGCATGGCTCCAATTCAGAAAACGGCTGCCACAAACAATCATCGTCCATGAAAGGATCATCATCTGTTGTATCCTCATTGCCAAAGTACTCAGTGAAAAATGTCTCCTGAGAAACGCTTTCAAAGAGTTCATCAACGTCCATGTCAACATGTTGCAGTTCTTCATCTCCAATGCGTCGTACTGTTGTTCTTTGTCTTTTTGCTTCTGGTTCTCCCTCAACAGCTGTATCTGCAACACGTGTGGCAACTGTGGAGTCCATCTGCATTGGCCCCGCCTGCTCAGCACCCTCAACTGGCGCTGAAACCACTGCTGTAGGTGGAGGTGGTGTCCTCCTTGGTGCCTGAACCTCTTGTGTTGGTTCTGGCATGGGTGTGCGTGGAGCCAAAGGAATCAACGGTGTAACTGGAAAAGTTTGCAGCTCTGTTCCATCACCATCTTGCAAGACTGCTGATCCAGTGCCTGCTGTAGCATCAACCTCATCAAGTTCATCAGGATCTGGGGCTGCCTCATCGTCAATTCCAGGTATGATGCCTGGAACACCAAGATAAGACTTGGAGACAGGCTTCACTCGATTACCAAGCACACCCTCAATCTGCCAAGGAAACGTAAGCAAACTGCGATAGAGCTCCATGTGCTCAGACCAATCTTTGAAAATTGCTTTCACTGACCTTGTCAACCTCAAGTTGCCTTCACATTGGACCAGGAACATGTCATTGGTAACGCTCTTTGTCAAGAAAATGCCAGGTCTCCATTTTGAGTCACCCTTGTGTTGATTGGTGTCCCCAACAAAGCACATGACTGGCTCTGCAAATTGGCACAAACGTCCTCGATAGGCATGCCCTCGTATGAGCTCATAGGACGTCACCCCTGCTCGAACTCCATATCTGTTTCTGATCCAACACGCATGTATGAAGGCCCATGAAAACAATGGATGTCCAACTGGAATCTCATAGTTCAGACGCTTGGAAAGTTCATGCGACAACACTGAACTCATGTTTCTGACATTGTCCACTGCCTTCTCAACCCAAGAGTTGCTTGCATGATCCAAGAGTTTGGAATTCTCAATCACTGCACGATGTCCCATTCTTTGCCATGTACGTTGAAGTAAGTTCTGCACTGCCAGGATTGCAGGTTCTTGGTCACATCTCAAGCAAATGTCTGAGTGACCCAAGAACTGCAAGAATCTCACAGCTTCCATCACCATGTATTTTCTCTGACTCTTTGCAAAAACCGGGACACAATGCACAGCGCCTGAATGAGAATCATGAAAAACCAATGTTGTCAGTTTTGAAGTTGTTGTATCAACATCCACTGATTCACAAGACTTGCCAGTGTATGCAAAATCAAATGACAAACTTGGAAGCTCTCGATCTTGAAGTCGACTTGAATCTGTCTCATGTCTTTCAGCACGTCCTTTCCCTTGCACGCAAGATTCACACCAAGCTGCATAAGGTGTGTGAGTAAGTTGATGTCGTTTGATTTCATCCTCATCATCTGGTCTCTCTGCTGTCTGAACTGGCACAGGGTTTCTTGCAGACTCTTGCAGACTGCTCTGCATGATCTCAACTTCTTCGAGAATCTTCAGTTTGTCAAGGTGTCCAATGATTCTGTTCCACAGTTTACTCTTGGAGCCTGACTGAGAAATCTCCAGATACTTGCAAGAAGCCCTCAAAAGCGCAATGGACGACGATGGAGTCACTGTGATCCCTGCAATTGTAACACCTGCAGACTGAACACCTCCAGTTGCATCGATTGTCACTGGAATTTCACTTGAACGCTGAGCATCTGTTGTATGTGGTTGCAATGCATCTGACATCTGAACATCTTGGGGAGCCTGTGCAACTGTTGAAGATGAACTTGATTGCGCACCTCCTTGAACTTGTTGTCCAGGTTGTTCATTCAAAACCATTCCAAGTTGATCGATTGTACAAACATTCTTGGTAACAATGGTCAACAAGTTCTTGTATGGTTGTCCAATGGGTTTGCAACGTTCTTCAAGATCAAAAATCTTCTCACAAAGTTCCAAAACGCACCAACCATCATGCTCACTCCATGCAACTGTTGTACGGTATGGCCATTCATTGACCAAAACATCACTGGTCACGTCCACATGCTTTTGGGCTCCAGACACATAGATCATCATGCTGTCACCAAACTCCCACCAGCCAGATTGCAGCTTCTGCCAACTGCGTGGCACATCAACATGAATCACTCTGACAGTCTGTTTGTTTTCAATAACACGCACATGACCATGAATCACCAGTGAATTGTTTCTGAAGTTCATTGGAATCTTGAAGCCACGTGCATGAGTGAGGAAACTGCCTGTGTCGTCTGGGACAATGCCCCAGCCATTTCGAAGGAGCTTTCCATATGAAATGATGGGTGAATCAACTGCATTGCTGAAATGAGCAGTGTCTCTGATTGTCACTGTCCTACCATCATCTGTTTGCAAATCAAAACAAATGTCCTTGACGCTGTCCACCTGAATGGCATTACCTTGAGCATCACGCAGTCGACTGTCCTGGTCTGCACATGGTGTTCCTGCATGGTTCAAATGAACTGGAAGTACTGTTGCATCAGATCCAGAGTCCACTACAATGTCATGACCTGTTGAAATTGCACGCACTGAAAAACTTCTGTCATCACTCCAGGGCGGCTGCAAATCAAACTGAAAACAAGGTTGTTCTGGTTGTTGAAATAAGGGTTGAGGTTGAGATTGAAATAAACGTTGTTGACATGATGGTCGAAAACACTGAGAGTCACAAAAACGTCGTTTGAAATTGGATTTGTTTGTCAAATCAGCATCATACAAATCAAACTTGTAGTCCATGGCAACGTTCTCTGTGAAATGCTCGAAATCGTCCACCTGTGGCAGTGACTGCATTCGAAACCTGTCAATTCCATCACCTGCAGGTTCGAAGGCATACTCATGAAACATTCCCTGCAATGACAAACCACGTTGAAAATCTTTGCAAGTTCCTGCATCTGAGCATGAAATCATTCTGACACTTGAACTGAAAACATCACTGCCATCTGAAATGTCGAAATAAGCACTGTCACCAACGTTGCAAGGCAAAGAAGAACATGGAGAAAATGTAACACGCTTCACATACTGTGTGGAAGAACCATGTGTTGTCGATGTCTCTGCATTGGACTGCACTGAAGTTCCAGCTGCATCTCCAGAACCTTCTCCAACCAAACGCACTCGACAATCTCTGGCCTTGTGGCCAGCCTTTCCACACCGATAGCACTCCATCTGATCTGACTTCTGCTTTCCCTTGTCCTTGCTTTTGCCTTTTCCCTTGTTGTGCTGATCATTCGAATTCGAAGACCATCCATGGCCTTTTCCACTGTTCCACTGGTTCTGACCCTTTCCATTGCTATTCCAGCTAGTCTTCCCTTTGTCACCTTTTCCTTTTCCTTTTTCATCACTTTTGCCCTTTGCTTTGCCCTTCTGATCGGGCTTGCCTTTGCCCTTACTCTTGCCTTTGATTCGATCAACCTCCATTGGCGCACTTGTATCTGCAGAGTTGGTTGCATTGTTGAATCCAAGTACCATCGTCTCAGACCACTTTGTAGTGCTGCGCTCATAGCTCAGCACGTTCTCCCTGATCTGCAAATATGTTGTACTGTCAGTGAGTTGCAGTTGAATCCAAGTCTTAATCTGCCCAACCAAGCATCGAAGTAAAACAGCTGATCTGAGCTCCTCTGAAAGAGCACTTCCAAGCTTCTCGTATTCAGAAAACGCTGATTCAAGTTTCATCACCTGTGACATCAATGAAACCTTGTTGGAAAAACTTGGCCAGTTCATGATTGCATTCAACAAACTCATAGACCGGTTCTTGTTCTGGGGCTCATTGCTAACAATAAGCTCTCTGTAGCACTCATAGCCGTTGAAATCCTTCACAGACTTCAAAAGCATCAGTGGTCGATTCTTGAGAACAGACGCAAGCAAACTGTATAAAAAGATGCAGCGCTTCTGCTCATCGCTCGCCATGATGCTCATGTCCACTTCAACGTCAGGTGTTTTTCTGATCCTGTCAATCTCTGTCACAAAGCTGGGATCCAAAGTCCCAACATATTGCTCAAACGACCAACTCCAGTCGCGCCACTTTGCAATCTCATCCTCTCTCGTTCCAGGGTCAAAGCTTGTAGGCTTTGGCAACAAACGATACCAAGCTTTCTCGTCCGTGCTTGAACTCCCAAGTGAGCTCTTCAAACTTTCAACAGCTGAAACTGCAGCTGCTGCAGCTTCTGCTGCAGCTGTTGTAGCCTGCACCATCTGCATAGCGACTGCAGCTCCATCCAACGTCTGTCCAGCTGTCGGCGAACCACTTGGAGAAGCACCTGGTGATCCATCGGCCACACCACTCATGAGACCAAATCAGATACAAGGCTCTGATGCCCTAAGCAGTGAAGTCCTATGGCACAGCAACGGTCGCACCGGGGGCTACGCTGGAATGCGCTTTGGGATAGGGTCCTGTCCCAGTAGCTTTGCCCTCACCACAGATCAAAGAAATGTGGATCCTCGGGCTCCGCTACCATCTAAACTTTTCCTCGCAAACCAAAAGCCTCGGAAATCCATGTCTTCACCATGCCTATTGCATGCTGAACTGTTGAAACGTTTGGAGTAGTTTTCAACTAGCAAACAAACTGTTCTCGGCAAAACGCAAAGATCCAAATTGGATCAGTTGACCTACAAAACTACTAAATCACTACGTGAGTTGTAGTAGGTTCCAAAAGGGTGAAGTTGTGGTAAAACATCTACACAATATATCGTTTTCACTTACTAAGATTGCACAGGGTACTTCTGTCCAAGGACGTGACAGGGGTCCCTCACATAAACAGTCATTGGACTCCATTGGTCTCGGAATTCAAAGGTCTCACTTTCCCCCCCCACTTGAACAGTGCTAATATGTTGAATTAAAAAGAGATTACACAATTTCAGTTGTCGGATTGCCTGCCATGGCGTATGCTACATCGGATGCATCAAGCTGTGATGAACGACTTCTACATATTAAACGAGTCATCAATAAGTACACAGCTTGCTGTACCTTATTGGACAATTTGCAGTCTGCCCACTTCCATTTGCTCAAGGCGAAGCAACAGGCCAAGGAAGTATTCTGGGTTGACATACCAATGCCAGAAAAGCTTGATGAGAACATTCAAGCGCAAGTCACTTTACTTCACATGATCGCTGACTACAAAGCCCACATTGTACGTGAAATGGAATACGCTCAAAACGAGCTGTTAGTCCCAGTGGTGTATCCCGATGGCATTGAGATCAGTTCAGATGTAGGCGAAGAACTCCATGATGTGAGGGAGAACTGCTTCCCGCCCTCACCTTAACAATGGTAATACCAAAGGCTGAGAAGTGCCAGCGCTACCAAAGAAGCAAGATGACGATGTGCCTCCAAACTTCCTGTTATACACCTTGCCTGAGCTATGAGTGACTGGCCAGCCCCAATGTAGTTATACCAAGTATAGCGCAATTTTGTTCGGCTATCGAGAAAATACGAACACGAGTGTATGCAGCTTGAGTGACATGTTACACTACAGCTTTACATACCGGCAGCTACTGGACTGTAATACATGGTAACGAATTTCACAACACCTTGCCAGTACATGTAGTCTATCGGCTCAGACATAGTTCAGACAACACAAGTTGACCAAATGATTGCTACCTTCAATGTTGCTACCTTGTTGCCTGACACTGACATGCATAGTACAGGTTTCCCTCAGCTGCCAAGCCACGGTGCTTTTCCGACCAAGGACGTGTCGGGACTGCACCTGGCAAACGCTCCACCCTCGTAGCCATGTCGACTGCGCTCATGACATTTCTGAGGAACTACCACTGGAAAGGTTATAACGTCGAAACCATTCAGAGCACTCCAAATATGCTGACAAATCTACATCGCGGCAAGTATCCTATCCATAGGCTATGTCACAATGTCAACATAGAATGTAGGGCATTTAACCTGATGGAAGTATGCACATGGCTCAATGGTGAGAAATGGAACATCCTATGGGCTGAAGATGAGTCATGGCTTCCGGAGGAGACGACAGTAATGATGGGGGCTACACTGCCCCATGGATTCCATAAGGTCATTCCTCGAGAGTGTGACGAGATTTACCTGCAGGCTTGGTTGAATATCACAGGATATGGTGGTTTCTATCCCTTCGCTGCAGAGGTGCGACACAACGGATATGCATGCTGGGCCAACTCCAGACGCTTTGCAATAGTTGCAAAGAATGCCCAACAATGTGCTATTATTGCAGAAATTATGCATGCTTACAATATCTTAGGTAATCGCATTGAAACACTGCAGCCAACCCCAGAAGGAATTGCACTGAGTGAGCAATCACGAATCAACAGTGCTGTCCATGAAGATGATCGACCGTGCTTTGATTTCCGGCTCTCGCAAGAGTGCCAAGCTGCGATAGCAGGCCAGTTTCCTAATCATGCAGATGAAGCGGATAGGATCTTCCAACTCAGTGAAAGTATACAAGTGCTGCAAATGCAACATAATAACCTTGTCCAAGAAGCTAACCGAGCACTTTACCGACTACAGCAAAATTGGTATGCCCTCAGTGAAGCTTATGCAACCATCTTCACCGACCTTTGAGGCCCAATGATTTAGCAGAAGTCCTGTGAAGTTGATTGCCAGCAAATCCAAAAGGGGAACTCAGGGGTCAGCCCGTCCGGTGGTTTGTCTCGCTGATCACGCAAATAACCTTTAAGGGAACTGCACCACATGCTCACTTTGTAGGGGCACTTTCATCCTTGTGACGTTTTTGGTTGTGATTGCATTGTGAACATGCGCGTGTGTTTGCTCACAGGTTCTTCATCCCTCCTAAGCTGGTATTTTTAACAAGCGACAGCCCCTACACACCTATTAGCGGGTTATATGACAGCCCTGTGTTTGTGCACATCATGACTGTTCACGAAGGGCTCAAGGACGGACCCCAACCCGCATTTAACTTGTCTATCCTTATTCAGTGGTATCAACTCATGCACAATTGGCTACTTGCTTGCTGTCCTAGTCTCTTCCACAAGTCAAAAAGTGTGAAGATTACATGGGGTTACTTCAGTGATTACGGGATATACACATAACTAATATATTCCTCCATCCGAATGGCTGAGATACCCTAAGAGAGATTGTTATCACTGAGGCATGACCGACAAGATCCAATATTCAGCATGCCTGCCATAAATAATTAACCATGTAGGTCACGTTGCCTTTCCGACCAAGGACGTGTCGGGATTGCAACTGACTGACAACAACATCAGCTAACTGCCATCTCACTCTTACTCTCGCGACTAATGCAAGACAGTAATGTTTGTGTGTAGTCTGCCTCCTCTCGCTTTACCTGTACTGCCATGGATTATGTGCGACTCCGTGGAGAAGAACACCAGTTCCCTATGCCAGTAAAGATGATCCTATATAGCTTGGAAGCAGCGCAAGACCTTATGGTGGCTGTACGAGACCTCAGGCGCACAGTACGGCTAGTGCAGAGTGGATGTGTCACCTTTTTTCCAGAAGAAGCACATGGCCTGCAGTTGATATATAACACATTAGAAGCTGACCTCCAGCAAGTTGAAGTGGATGGACAGCGCATCACACAGCATCTCTTGACGGCACTAGCAGCATCTTACGAGGACATAGTACGAGTGGCAGGTTTTAGTCGCCCGTCCACACGAGGTGTGTGGGTCAACCACCTATACTTAGTCCCAGCTGCTGATGGAGGCATGACCGATCAGGCGGGACTTTCCCCAGTGCCAATAGATGCCCGACCCTTTCGGTTAATCATTCAGACAATACATATCACTGCTACCCTGGGCGGATTTCTGGACCGCAGAACCATGCGGCAAGCAGTTGATACAGTAGTGGAAGTTGCTTTCATGCTATTAAGGTCAGGGGTGCCACCGAACCTCCGCATCTGGACCACCACAGCAGTTGGAACTAATTCAACAATGCAAAGACTCCAACCGAACACACTCCTAGCGGAAGTGGCCAGAATGATGGCTCCCGCCATAAGATTTAGTCTTCTTGTGCAGGACCCGCCCACTGCGGCTATCCGCAGTCCCGACAGAGAGTTGAGTGCGCCAGAGCTCGTCCTCCTATAACAAAAATTGAAATGGCTGGAATTTTAGAGTTGCCGCATAACAATTCGAT